CAGGAAGTTGTGAGGACAGGTTTATTCTGTGCACAGGGCAGGTCGCCGTAAGTAGGCTGTGCGTTTGTGACAGAGATAAGCGTCCGTTCTGGAGAGCGTCAGTTGCGGTGCCTTCTGTGTGTCGCTACCACCGAAAAGTTGTTGTGCTGTTTTACCTCTGTACTGTCTGTTAAAAGTCACGTCCGCAAGGGTGGCGTCCTGTGTGTGCACTTGTAGCCAATCAGCAAAAGAGGTCGCGTTGATTGGCTTCGAGAGCACGCGAGAGTAGTGGCAAATGATCGACCAGGACTTTGATGTGGCCGAGATTGCAGCGAGGCAGATCGAGGGTTAGCGTGTGCAGCCGTGGAGCGTATACAGTCGGACGAGGGAGCAGAGGAAAGGCCGATACACATTCGTGTCCACTACCGGTAATTCCCCGCTCAGGCTGGCAAAATCACCTCGCCAGAAATCCAACCGAGGTTTAGTCGTATTCATTTGTTGGCTGCATAGGCGGTATTTCCAAAACAGCATGACATGGTCACTTTTACCGCACCGTTTCTGTTTCTCACCGAAAAAGCAATGTCAAGGAATTCTTGCCACAACGTAGAAAGTTTTCGCTTGGCCGAGTCCGGAATATCGACCACCAGCAATCCTTTGTCTTTATACTCACTTTTTTGACCATTTTTTAAAAATTCCCGTCATTCGTGGTGAAGCTTCATTATTTCTGTAAGTGTCGGTTTTTAAGTTAAGCTATGCTGTCTTTACAAAATATAAGACTATGCTTCTATCTTACTCATGTTAGGTGCTTCTGACGCATTTTTAGTAGATAATACTGCTGTGGCCGCTAGATATCACTTAATTGTAATCCTCGTTATCACCTTTAACTAAGTTGTCCATCGATTAGGCTTAGGTTCATACACGTATGGGTTCTCGCAGAAGAGAATTCGATATTCAGAAGGCAGGACTGTCGGAAAAACCTTGTCTTTACATCCATGTTAGATTAACTTAAAAATCGGTCAAGCTACAGATTTATGTTGTAAGTTGTTGTTCTGTATGAACAGATGCGTAAAATGCAAACATTAAAAATGTAAGTACATGCTTACGTGCTTGTAGCTCAACAGGTAGACGATGGGTCCTACTTTAAATCAGCCAGTTTCGATTACTCTAGGTCACATCTGTTATTAAAATCCGGCGCTATGTGGTGCGGTTGTCTGGAGTTCGCCTTCTTAGTTCTTGCTGCAGCTTCGTCTGCTTCTATAGCGATTCTCGGTTTTATTTTACGCAAAACCTTAAGTGGAAGATGTGTACTATTTTCTACCGGTGGTGTCAACATGTCAACCGGCAATCTTAACGAGATATACATGAATTCCTGGGGAGATAGTAATTTGTGTGGACTGGTTCTTGTAATTGGTGCTGGTGGTAGCCTTTTATGCTTTCTAAATTTTGTTTCCCTATCTGTGACTTTATTCAAACAAAGAAAGAGGTGAGCTACCCACACTTTTTGATGCCTTTCAATAGCTGGAAGTTATCGACACTTTCAGTATTTTTTGAAACTCTGTTTCTCTTGCTGGCCGGAATTGGCATTGGAGTTGTGTGCTTGGGATTTAGCCGCTTCTGTGATAATTCTTCCGGCTTGAACGAAACTATTTGTGGATCGAACCAAACAGTTATAAAAGTTCACGATCGACTTGTAAATGTGGGATATATTCATAAAGTGTTATACTCAGTTCAGGTATGTATTTTTTGATTTTTAAAAGAAATTTCTTTTGATGCTTGAGTTTTTGAAATTCCAAGTCATTTGTTATCGATCCAACAATATTTGGTCAAGCAAACAATCTTTTGCTATCTTTTATGCAAGCACTGAAAATAAATGGGACCTTGTTGTACATATTTTACAACGTCGATTCGGACTCATAGCTTTCTATGTGTAAAACGAAACTTGAGTCACGTGTTTCAGAGAATTTTTAAGTGTGCGCGATCGACTATAAATTGCCAGCCCTGCGGCGTGTCACTCGAGTGATGATCATCATTCTACGTCATGAGACGATAAATATGTCTGTTAATTTACTTTCTTCTGTCCTTCTTGAGACCGCGCTGTTCTATTTTTGAAAAACGAAAAGAACACAGACACGGGCGTAGACATTTCTACGCGCGCTCCCATTTTGCCACCACTGCATCCCGGAAAAGTAGTGGTCTTCGTTGTTTGTGTCGACAGAACTATCGATCCCCAAAATATGTGATATCTCTATAGCAACTCCACGACCAGTCTCCGTTCCTTGCAGGTTTCTTGAATGAATAAACGAGCACCTTGCCTTGATCCAGTCTTCCCTCTCCAACAGGAATGGAAGCTAGTTAGGCTGGCCCTACGGTCTCCTCCACATTGTCGTGCAAACAATGCGTATCCAAAATATCCAAATGCCTTAACATTTGAGTTCAGGAGTGTAACCAGAGACCGTGACTGATAATATGATGTCTGGCTTGGTCAATGTAGCGAACCGAAACATATGTGGAATGCACACGATGAATCGGGAAGTTTGGTCATCCACCTTGTCCCGATTTATCTCAATCTCTTGGGAGAGACAACGAGTTCAGTACTGGCAACCATTGTCCACAGTACGTAAACCCAGACCCAACTAATGGACACTCCAACCACCTACAGTAATGGGTCGACGAAAAAACCTCTATGCCTCTCTGTTGATACCCGATAAGACGACACCGAGATGCAAAGCCCGTATTATATCACGATATCGTAGACTATTTCAACTGAAAACCTTTCCAACTGGTAGTTTCTTATTTTTGCCTTTTATTTTGCTGCCACATGAAATAACAACTGACAGCAACTGTTAACTTTCACTCGGAAGTTGCACGGTTAACAAGAGCAGAATGTTGCCACTATCGAATAAGATTAGGTCTACTAGGAAGATAAAGCTTGGAATTTTGTTAACAGCAACCCCAATTCTTGATTGCATACTTTCTTTGGGGGATGTTATTCCTCATTCTGACCAATTTCGTGCGTAAGGGAATTTGCACTTACTCGTTAGTTTGTGACTAAAGAGGCCCTTTTTACACTTCCATAGTTCTAGAATTCTTCAGCTACATGTATGTTGGGGAAATCGCATGTCATGATCCGGAAGTAACCTATGCGTCTGACGGTTCTTTTTGAGTGTCTTTGGTCGACTGCTAGCGGCTGTTTTTTGCCAAACAATTTGTGAACAAAGTTGTTGACGTTGTTGTACTTTGCAGGCAGTAAGGTTCAGTCAAATGAGCAACTGTCCTCTGACGGGTTGCAAACTGAACCGGAGTCGTTATAATTCAAGTTTATGCATTTTTATTTAATCTTTAAGGTGTGCCTCTGGTTATTCCTGCTTTCCTTGCTGGGAGAAATGTTCTGCAGCATATACCGTTTGCTTGTCTCCGCCGGAAAAGTCAGCTATCAGAAGACTCTGGTCGTTGATGGTGACCGCTCAATTTCGAATCTGTATGCTTATTCTCGATTGGTTTCCACCTAGAAAAATCCCCTAAACCGACTTTCAAAACCATTTGTGAAACAAAACTACCGACTACTGTAAAAAACCCTGAGGATTCGGGTTTTGAAGTGAAGTATCTGTAAATATGTTGTTTTGTCCTTTCACCACATTTTGATAAAAGGCGTAATTTTTTATAAATTCCAACAAAACAGATGTTTTTGCTCAGGGCCGCTGCGTCGACCTCCTTCAGCCTTCAGTGGTCTGCGGAGCCTGGAGACTCGAGGAAGTCACTAGGTCGTCCTACACCTATCCTGACCAGCCAGTGGCTTCAGACATCAACGCGGTGGAAACGTCTGCATAATTAATTAAGTAGTATAAGCAGTATAAACGGCCATGAGAAGCCTCCCAGAGGAGGAGATAGATCTTGCGAAAATCTAACTGTGCTCTTAGAATTAAAGGACTGGCCGTCCGAACTGCTAACACCGACAATTGACCTTCCATCTGTTGAGACTATCACACAACTCTCAGTTTACTAATGCCCAAAATAAGTATCTAGGGGCTGTTAGGTCGCCGACTGCATCCTGTTATTTATATGAGCTCTTGAACTCCATCGTCAGAGGTAACTAGAAGGCAGATCGGCAAGAGTGTGTGCCACTTTGGCGTCCCGCAGTTGCCAACTGCGTATCCCCTCGTCTATAAACGGGGTCGCAAACCGCAAGGATTGTTGGATTGATGCACATTACTAGGCAGATTTATAGGTCCCAGGCACTTCTCGGCACGTTTGTTTTCTGTTCTTAGCATTCAGAAAGCCAAACTTATGACCTGCCTGCGGGAGGTGCGGGCACTTTTAAGAATGAGTCACTCGTATGCGCTGGCGCACTCGTGACTGGAGCTTTCGTGCCGTCCGACCTGTCTAACTGCGAGGGCATGTGCGACAAGGAATCTGATAAACCAGACCAGATTGTTGGCTGGTGCTCAGGTTGCCTTTTACATACTAGTTTATGATTGATGGGTCCTAGGCGGCAATACCTGTTGTGCTAACTTTCCTGAGCGCCAGAAACTGTCATTTGCTTAATGGACTTCTTATTTGAGTTCCCTCGTTATGTCAATTGTTTACTATGCTATCTAAAGCGGGATACTGTGTTAGTTGGATTATATGTGTGTCGGGTCCAATGCGCCATAGGTACGCAATAGTACACAAGTTATCATGGATAAATCTAGAACGAGTGATATTCCCTACGACCAACGCGAGAGGCTCTGGATGTGCACATGGAAACTTTGGTATTTGTAAATCTTAAGTATATATCTTTCCTAGCAGAAGATAATCCCGACAAAATGATTTCGATACTCAATGCTTTTGTTCGTGTCTTGACCTACCAGCCCACAAAAGTCTTTCTGCCTAAGTTGGGCTTTAATTTACGTCCTCAGCCGCTTGTCACGCTGAAAATGGTCTCCCGTTGAAACGTGGCCTTATCATCATATGGAACACGCATTTCAGAAGATGAAGATGCGATCACTGGGACAAGAAGTTTATTGGCCTGACGTTTCGGGTTCTCACTCGAGCCCATCATCAGAGACATTCGCAGATAGAGGTAAAGGTGGCACCAGGAATGCAGTATTTATAGCACGTGGCTGCCGTGGGACCGTATGCGCACTGCAATTAACAGTTCTCACAATCGCCGCTGGGGTCGTAATTGATGCGGCGGTGGCTTGGCGGTCCGAGTCCGAGTTGTTAATTGCCGCGATTTCGTCATCCGTGCTCGATGCTGGTGTGACGATTGCTCGGCAAACTGGCTCACTGTCACCGTGATAATTGCTCACCCGCGCCCTCCCCACGTGACTGATTCTCCTGCCCAGTGAAAATCGCAATACGGAATAGGCCACCGGGAGGTCATTGTGTTTGTTGATGGATTGCGGGCCTGAGAACCATGAATCGAGCAGCTCGCGGCTCACGCGGTTGTCACCCCTTGCGAGGATTTCGGCCTCTTGAAATTTGAAATTATGGCCGGGTCCCGTCGAGTGTGCCGCCACCTGAGAGTTAGCGTCTCCCCGCCTCACTGCTGCTGCGTGCTCGGCAAGTCGCGTACGGAGTAATCTCCCAGTTTCTCCGACATAATTGCTTTGTCCGCAACTACACCAGATCCGGTAAACGACTCCAGACGTTTCCTGTTGTGGCAGCGGGTCTTTTGGCCTCATTACTTGGCGCCTAATGGTTGCTTCCGGCCTGTGTGCAACACCAACTCCAAGTGGAGTGAGAAGACGACTGACGGCTTCCGAGACGTTCTTCACGTACGGAAGAGCCCGCCAAAATTTGGGGCTAGTTGGATTTGGTCTCTGGTGTCCTTTTCGTATGCACTGGTTGACAAAGTTGCGCGGGTAGCCATTGGCTCTCATTACCCGTCGAAGATATTGTAATTCAGCAACCTTGTCTTCCATTTCACTGCAGTGCGTCTCAACACGCCGGTATAGCGCCCTTACGCAACTGCGTTTGTGACTGATCGGGTGGTTGCTATTGAAGTTCAGTATTTGCGTCGTATTTGTCGCTTTCCTGAACACTTTGGTTTTTAGGCCACCACAATCTTTGCGGCAGACGAGGACATCCAGGAAGGCCAGCTGATTGTTTTCCTCCTCCTCCATCGTAAATTGAATGTCCGGGAAGACGGCGTTGAGTTGTTCTTTGAAAGTCAGCACCTGATCCCGTTCGATGACGACGAAGGTGTCATCCACATACCGAGCCCAGAATTTCGGTCTGTGGTGTCGGAAAACCAGCGACTCCAGCCGTTGAAGGACCGCCTCGGCTATGAGTCCCGAAATCGGCGAACCCATTGGCGTTCCCTTCACCTGCTCGTAGATTGTTCCGTCGAATGTAAAGTACGTCTTGAGACAGAACTTCAGGAGCTGGATGATTTGGGCGTGTCCGAGGCGATTCTCCGTTTCGTCGTACTTCTCTCGTAGGAGTAGTTCGATTGTCTCGACTGCCAGGTCCTGCGGGATAGAAGTAAAAAGGGACGTGACATCAAAGGAAACCATGATATCGCTTGGCAGGAGACTTACTCCTTTAAGTTTCTCCAAGAATTGCGTTGACGAGCTGACTGTGGTGTTCGAATCGGAGGTCAGAAACTTGAGACGTTGGAACAGCCACTTTGCCAGTCCGTAGGTTGGAGTGCCCTTTAGTGACACGATAGGCCGGAGAGGAGCGCCCTCTTTGTGCACTTTTGGGAGACCGTAGAATCGGGCTAGGGCCGTTTCTTGTGCTCTCGCCATGCGTCGGTCGATTGGCGATATTGCACCTGAGTTCTCCATTGCCAACAGCGTCGCGTTAATCTCGCGTGTCAGCGTTTTCATGGGGTTGGATTCGCATGGCACATAGGACTGACGATCATCCAACAAGCTTTTGGCTTTTTGATTGTAGTCTGTCCTGTCCAATACGACCGTTGAACGCCCCTTGTCCGCAGGCACGATAACGAGGTCGTTGTCGGCCCTGAGTTCTTTAAGTGCATCACGCTCGACCTTGGAAAGCACATCGCGCGGCCTATGAGCCATGAGGAGGGAGGACACTTGGTGTCGAATGAGGTTCTTCGTTTCGTCTGTCGCTCCCGTCTGGCTGAGGATTGATTCCACTGCTGCGATCATGTTGGCAGGTTTGGCATCGGCTGTGTTGAATGAGGCCTCATGCCGTAAAACCTGCATTTGTTCCTCCGTCAGCTCCTTTGACGACAAGTTGTGCACCAGTTTGTCGTTCTTGGATGACATTGGAGCAGGCAGCTTACGAAATTTGCTCTCTAGGGCTGCTTCTCGCGTTGCTTTATGTTCGCGGGTTCGTTCGGCCAGCCTCTGCTGAAGCAGTTTTATGCCGTCCTCGCCCATGAACTCGCAGCACCTTGCCTTCTCTTGGTCAATCCTCTGACGGTATTTGCGAATCCGTGAGTGACAGTCTTGAAGGAGCACTCGGATCATTCGTCGGCCGTGCTGAAGTACTGCGCGTCTCGCCAGCTCTGTGTTGACCGGAGGTTTGTATGAAACGCACTTCGGCAGCACATTGTTGTCGAGACACCTGTGCAGAAATCGAATCTGCGCATATGTTGACGACTCTCGAAGGGCAAAGGTTTCCCACCGTCGAGCCGATCGGAGCGCTTCGCGCCCAAAAAGATTGCTGATAGAAGCGAACAGGCGAGTCCCAGGTAGCAGTTCAGAAGATGAAGATGCGATCACTGGGACAAGAAGTTTATTGGCCTGACGTTTCGGGTTCTCACTCGAGCCCATCATCAGAGACATTCGCAGATAGAGGTAAAGGTGGCACCAGGAATGCAGTATTTATAGCACGTG